GGCATCCAAGCGCAGGCAGCGCAGGCAGCTCCTGTCCCTGCTTGGAGCCCGGCACGGCTATGTGGCACAACGTACTCGGGTTAAGCAGCCCCCTGCCTCGGTTCTGCACCACGTCAGACTAGGGGTAAACTAGACTGGTCCTCTTCCCTACTCAGCATCCGGAGATCCCTTGGGGCTAACTTCTAAAGGCTACGCTGCAGAACAGTTGCCAGCGTCTGCGTGAAGGACAATGTCTGCCTCTAGAAATATTTTAAACACACCAATTAAACTTTATTTAAATTGAAACAAAGATACATTTTTAACATTTTTTTATGTGCACCCTCTGGTGCAATACAGCTAAACAATTTTGTTTTTGCTTTTTTTTTTTTTTTAACACTTGATTTTAGCATCTTTGGGAGGGGGAGGCAGCTTAATTTCCTCTAAAAAGGGGAAACACTGGGATGTGCCTGCAACGATGTCACATTTTTTTGAGAGGCAAATTTACCACAGGAGAACAGCAGGTTTGGCAAACAATTATTTTAAGACCAGAACTAAATAATTTTTACTAGTAGCTGATTACCATGGAGCAGAAGCTTGAGTAGCTCGTAGAATATATTAGGCTCCAAATATTAAAGTCTCAGATAAGCAAAACAAAGGCAGATAACTCCCCTTTTGTCTAGAGTTGTTCAGGGGGCAAAGTCTGACTTAGCTGAGCTGCATATTCACCAGCCTGTAATTCTGTAATTCACAGCAAGGGTTTAAAAACTGGACCAACCTAGAATCTGAGCCAGGAAACTGTGTAAATGATGAATATTTTTCCATCGAAATGCAAACTTTCTCTCCAGTCATTCACCCATTCCTAAGAATTGAACCTAGAGTTCTTCACACTCAGCTACATCCCCAGCCCTCTGTTTTTTAATTTTGAAACAAGGCTGGGCTTGAATTTGAGATCTTCCTGCCCCAGACTCTCAGAGTGCTGCTGTTACTCGATATGCTACCAGGCCCAGCCAGCCACTTACCTTTTTTGATCAAAAATAATTTCAAAGAAATATTATTACTCTTGGTCACAAAATAAAGCATCTAACTTAGGTAGGACAGAAGAAACAAATATAGGTAGAAAGGTGACAATACAAATCATAACTAAAAATTGTACTTTTAAAAAAATACTACAAGCTGGCGCGGTGGCTCACGCCTGTAATCCAGCACTCAGGAGGCTGAGGCAGGAGTTTCACTGCAAGTTTGCAGCTAGCCTGGGCCCCCTTCAACTATACACAGTGAGACCCTATCAAGAAAGAAAAAAAGCCAGGGATTTAGCTCAGTGGTTTGGTGGCCTGCCTTGCAAGCACAAGGACCCGAGTTCGATCCCCGGTACCAAAAAAAAAAAAGAAAAAAAAAAAAAAA